GACTTCAGGTGCCTTGTCTTTATTAGATGTCTGAATTTCTTATATTAACTTTAGGCAGTTCAGTGATTTTTTTTTTTTTTTTTTTTTAAGACATCCCGACTTAAAACTGATATGTAAAAGTGACTACCTGCTCCTTTTCGATCTCTATGTGGAGCGCTGCATATCCTGCACAGTGAGGGAACTAACTAGACAATTTCCATTGACTTTCACGTTCAACAGGTGTGATGCTTCAGCTGATGCAGAACAGCAGCTTTCCAGCAAATCTAATACATCAGCATAGTTCCTTCTTTGGATTTGTACTAGTTCTGTCTTTTGTATGGAGGAAGATATGTAGGAAAGAAATTGGTTTTTAAATGATTACTTGCTTTCCTTCTGGCATTTTGGAGAACACTCTCTTCTTGTTCTTTCAGTTCCCATTTAACTTGTTTGAAGAGATTTTGTTACAGCCAAATAATGCAATTCGCAGAACACACTGGGCATCTTATTGTAAAAGTAAGACTATAAGCTTTTTGAAAGAGAATTTCCATTTTCTTCCTGAATAACTTTTCAGAAAGGCCAATATTTAGAGTAGCAGTTGAAGAGTACTCGCTAGTCTTGCAGGTACATTTTCTTTTATTTCAGTTCTGACACATTGGTGTTTGGCATTTGTAGGATTTGAGGGATAATCATATTTAAGATATTATGCCCCTAAAAAAAAAAATTTTTTTTCATTGCTACTGGTGAAGAATGTGTTAGTGATATTCATTGCTACTATTCCAGTATTGCAGACTAAATGTCTTCAGTAGTTTTTTTGTTTGCTTTTAAGGCAGAAAACATTGCTGAATGGATTTTCCTACTTATATTCATATCACATCTTATTTCAGTAGGAATACACAATTCTTGCTCGATGATATTTTGCCTCTTTTTAGGTTGCAAAGAAATTCTTATTCCTTTCATGACTGTTGTTTTTAGAGGTGAAAATATATCCCATTTAACACTCTTTTAAAGTCATCTAAAGGATGTGATAAAACACAGCAAGAAATGAAGATTCAGGGACAGGGTGACCATCTGTAACTTGGTCTCTTTGTCTCAGAACTGCAATATAATGGCACTGTGCCTTGATGTGCTAGACTTACGACTTGAATAAAGGTCTCATAAACTTCTCCTTAAAGGGGTGAAAAGAGGGGAAAAAATAACCCCTCATTTTTCCACTTTGTCCTTGTCTGTTTTTCTTCAGTAAGGGAAGGGTATAGTGCTTGAAGAGCATCCAATTGGATGTGAATTATTAACGACTAGACTTTTTTTATTGCACAGGCAGGTTGAAATGTTCAAAATAACTTTTTTTCTTAGACCCTGCTTCTTTCAAGCACTTAATGTCTTTGAAGCTGGAGTGTTGGTTTCTTGAACTGCCTTGCATTCCTTATTATCTTCTTTTATCCGTTAGTACTGCAGTGGGATCTACAATTTTGTTGCTGGTAGAGACTCTGTGATAGAGGTAATCTGAACCTCGTCAGTGAATACTTGGCTTCTGTCCCCAAAATACTGCATTGCTACCTACCTTTTCTTGTTCCTTTACTTCTCCAAAGTAATCTTAACGTTTATTTCACTTCCTTCTCCAGTGTGCTTCACCTGATTCTGTTGACCAACATGTATTACATCTTAAACCAGAAGTGCAATGTTGTCTGGCTCCCATGGGCTCTAGTTGTATGAAGAATTTTTTTACACATCTTTTTATTTTGCAGAAAAACCCAAAATTTTGTTTAAAGACTCTCTACTGACTTACTGTAGCCTGATGCACATGCCTTTGGTGGGATCCAGATGCACTAGGAGCTTGCATTGAACGAGTGATGTATGGACATGATTCCACTTATGTATGCAACCTTTTTAGTAATAGTAGTAGTGAAGGTATTATTTAATCTTTTCCAGTGTTACCCTTCGCTTTGGGGACTTTTAATTTTGAATCCTGAAATACTACTGTTGGATTTCTAGGAAGCAGTAGGAGGACTCTCTGGTGCAACTGGAGAATCTTTCTCACCATTCTTTTGGGTAACTCCAAGTTTTGCCAGTGACTGGTTGGTTGGGTTGTTTTTTCCTTTTCCCTTTTTTTTATTTTTTTTTTTATTTTTTTATTTTAAGACTCCTGAACTGTACTTGTTGTCAGTGATTCCACTCAAGATCGTGTAGAGGACTTGTTATTGCTTCAGACTACTCTTAGGTTTGAGTCATTGAATTATGAATATTTTTTCATATCGTGTTGAACATGATGCAGAAAAGTACAATCCCTGAAGAACAGTGACATCATTTCTTTTTGTCTTACTGAATTACCACTTGAAATGTAGTGATCTTCTGTTGGTCATGACTGTACCAGGAGAAACCAAATCTGGTATTTAGTCAGCACTTTAATAAAGATTACTGCTTTTTAGGTGAGCATTCTTGTTTGGGTCCCAAATGTCTCATAGTATACAGCACTTTATCCACTGTTGGAGAAAGGCATCATCCAGCCTGTTCAATAAGATGAATATTTATTTAATCACAAGAGGGTCTGTAGAGTATTTTTAATGTGTTTTGAAAGTACTATTATTTAAAAGAGGCCATGCATAACAAACCGGGAATTTCCATGACTACTACTAAGTGCAAGCAGAGCAATCTAGTAATGGTATTCTGTGCTGCATGTGATACTTCTGATAGCCAAGGTGTTTTGATTTCCACTCTTCCTTTTCTTTGTGGTCTGCCAGCTGTCTTGTTTCATATGTATTTGCATTCTTATGACAGACTTTTTTATTTAAAAAAAATCGCAAAGAAAATAGTAAACCTTTACTTTTGGTAACAATAAAGTGGTGGTGTTCTGTAGGTAGTGCTTATTGATGTTTCTTCTGCTGAAGCTCTAATTTATCTTTCTTCTGCTTATATGACAGAAGAACAGAGACTTGATTTTTTGACACCCAAACTACTAAATATTTTTTTCTAAAGCTCAGGAATCTCCTGTTTATTTTAAATATAGAATTACAGAATTGCAGTGAAACAGAACAAGAATGGAGTTGAACTATTGAACTGTTGATTTTGGTCTGCAGTGGCTTCCAGTAGGAAATGCACATAAGCAGTTAAATGTATTATAGCTAAATAAAGTAATATTAAGGAGGCTGCTCTTCAGTTGTTTGGTAATGAAAGTACTGAGCATATTCAAAATAAGCTCTTGGTCTGTGTTAGAGATTTGCAGTATTCAGGAAAAGCAAGAGCTGTTGTCTGTGGGTTTTTTGGGGGGAATTTACTAATCTACTCTACAAATAAAGTCTTAATTTTTTTTGTATCAGATTATCTACACAAACTATACCTAGGATATTTGGAAGATTTTTCTTTTATTTGGAGACTGTGCTTCAGTTATGATAGTATGCCTTCCAGGTGCCTTCAGCTACTATTAGTCCTTTGCTAGGGCTACCCTAGTCAGTATTCTAAAATATATTAGGATTTGTTGTGAAGACACTTCTACCATTTCCTTAGCAATTCTTGGAGCAAGAGTACTCATAGATAAATCTGCCAAGACTCTGAAAGACCAGCACCTCTAATATCAAGAAGTCTGTATAGTGTACGTTTTTTTTTTCTCCCTGTCATTTTGATAAGGAGATTACCGAAACTAGTCAAGGTAAAATTACAGTCAAGTATAGCATAAAAGTATTGCAGCACTGGGATTTCATTTAAAGAGTGAAACTTGAAAAATTCTTTTGAATGCTTTTTACATTTGATTTAGCTGTGTGTTGAATGTTTAGAGAATTAATGGCACATAATTCTAAAGTTGTGTAGAGCAGCCAAAGTAGAAAATGGAGAAATACTTTCCTAAGTCCTTTAAAAAGTTAATCCTTACAATCAAGGCTTGCTAAGTCTTGATTTAGGCAAGATGTCATGGGATTTGTTTGTCATCAAAATAACAAAAGATAAAGTCCAATTTATATATATATAGAGAGATATATCTATATATATATCTTGTTCTCTGTGTTGTGAAGCTTAGTGAAATCTACTGTCGTTTGGGTTTGAGTCCCATAACGCCCATATGTCTCTTGCTTTCCTTTCTGTTCATAGTCTCTTGCTGCTATTGCCATAAGCCCACCTTCTTACCATGTCCTTTGTCACCTTGCATCACCATCAGTTTCTCTAGTTCCTATCTGTAGACTGCATCTGTCCTAAATATTGCCTAGATGAGACGTATCCAGTTTGTGTGGGTTTCCACTATTAAGATCCTGTAGCATACCACCGACCCCCAAGCATGTCTTCATAACAAATTCTGTATTTTCAGAGATTCCTTTTAGATATGGCACATTTAACTGAAATGTAGGAATCCACAAAAAGACCTGTGGATCATTCAACTTTGTTTCTGATAATATGCTAGTTGTGTTCGTTATCCGTATCTGGCAACAGGTGCGCTCAAGAAAGACTAAATGTTGAAGATGAAAGACTAAATGTTGAAGACGAAGACTGTTTTCCTCACAAAATAGCTTAGGACTGTTCACTTGGTGAGAATAACTGTTGGCAGGTTTTCACAGAATATGAATATGAGGTGCGGAGTCATGGTCTAGTTATTTCACAAGAGATGATTTAATGGATAGTGATAGTTATAATAGGAGAGCAGGAGAAAGGAGGAAGACCGAAATAAAATAAATAATAATATATGATTTAAAAAATTGTGCATCTGTTTAAAGCTGAAGTTATGTCAAGATAATATGGAAATACCTAACTTGAGAAATACCCTTAACTTGAGATGGAATATAGTAATATACTCTTCTCCCTGCTGTCACGCATCTGTATTTAAATACCTATGCTGTCTAAGATCGTGTATGACTGCTCTCAGGAGATGTACCTGATGATCACATGTGCTGCAGATGCCATATGGAAAGAAGCAATGCTACTGCTTACGTACTTTATGCTTTTTTCAATAAAGGATACTACAAAGAGCTAAGTATTTTTTCTTGCTTTTATATATATATATACACACACACACACACACGCAATTTTTCTGTGTATCTTTTCAGCTCATGGAAAAAACTGACAGAGAGTACTACACTCTGGATGACATGTTTGTTTCCAAAGCAGCCAAAAGAGCCCGCATTGGGGAAGAGGAAGAAATACAAAGAAGAAAAGCAATACATGAGCACCAGCAGCTTGCTGCATGCATGGAAAAGTGCCCGTACTGCTTTGATAGCAGTGAACTTTCTAAACATCTTATTATTGCCATTGGCACCAAGGTAAGAAAATAGCAATTTAACACAAATGTGAAAATAAAAAAAGAAATAAAGGAAGGCAGTGTTAGTGTTAGAGTGCATAAGATTAAGAACAAAATTGCTTCTATGAAATGATTTATTGTTCTGCATCTTCTTTTCCTTGCCCTTCCAATTGATTTCACAGATTCCTCAAGGGTGAGGAGGAAAAAGATATAAATCTGTCATGATTTATAAAGCTAATCTTTGATATTAGAACTTCAGATTTGTGGATTTGTGGAAGACAGGAGCAATAATGAAAGATCTGAGTGCAGAGATTAGACTGTAGGTGGATTTGTGGAAGACTAAATCACACTGCACTGGAGGAAATTTGAACTGGTGAAGAACTGTATCTCAATGATATCAAAAAAAATTAAGTGGAGACTTCAATTTTTAAGCCTAAAATCCTTTGAAATAGACAGAAGTTTGGTACATGGAACCTTCCAGTTTCTGTTAATGCTTTTAAAAGTTACATAAATATTTGGATTTCTAACATGAAATGCTTCAGTATAGGCTTTGTTGTCATTCCTTCTCCAAAATTTTCATTTATTATTGATGTTTTTCATTTGACTTGAAACTTTTTATAGGCCAAGGAATTAAATGCACAGATATGTATTATGGTACATGGCGCTTATATATATAATCTATATTAAAAAAACCAATGCATACAGATCTGTATCTGTGTATATATATGTGTTTATGTATCTAATATATATACACAGAGATATCTATATCTGTAAGCATTTATATATATTAGATTTTATTAAAAATGCATACAGATGTATATATCTATATTAAAAAATTCTGTAATGGACTAAACAGTGAGATTTCATAATAGTTAGGATACTGATTGGTCTATAAGTTGATATTACTGTCTTGTTGGTGGAGCTGCTGCCTGGATACCACTAGTTCATTGGAGCTACTCATGGATAATGGGACCTTTTTAAAAACACTAAAATTACTAGTACCTTGCTGTAATTAGCAGGTAATGGGTTCTGTTGGTTTGAATTTTAGCAAACAATGTATTTCTTAGCCTTAGCAATGGGAAGGTTTTAATGCTAGAAAAATGGTCACTTCAGTTTTTGTTTGCTTTTTATAGGTATACTTGTCTCTGCCAAGGCACCAGTCCCTTACGGAAGGTCACTGCCTGATAGCCCCTCTGCAGCACCATACTGCAGCCACTCTTTTGGATGAAGACATCTGGGAAGAAATCCAGGTCAGCTGAGAAACTATCTCATGTTCTAACATTTTTGTAAAATAGTGTTGTTTTGAAAATAATATACTTGTCAATAAGTACCTATTTTCATAATTTCCAGCCTTGCAGCAGTTTTCTCATTCCACTAAGGGGCAGAACATTCTGACATTATGGATGAAAATTACTGGTCAAAAATTGAAAAAGGGAGATGCAGGGTAAACACTGAAGAAATGTTGTCATGTATAAGCGCTAGAAAAAGTTGCCTGGAATGCTGCAGAACCACTGCTGTTGCAGGTCCTTGAAACCAGGTTAGAGGAACTTCTCTTGGGGTGATGTAGGTACAGCTGATCCCTTACAGCAAGTGGAATAATTGGCTTGGCAGTAGGATTTCCTTGGGAGTGCCAAGAAAAAGAAAAGGATCGTCAAGGCAGAAAAATCACTTATAATGAAACACAAACTGAAGATATGTTGTTTACATATCGTCAGGGTTTTTAAGCTAATCTGGTTTTAGGTGGATGCCAACTGAGAGAGAACTATCTCAGTCATCTTCAAATCAGTGAGGTCCCTAGCAGAATCCAATTTCCTACTTTTTTGAAAAGAAATATTAGAATAAAATGCCAAGCATGATGGGTCGTGTTTTCCAACTCTCTTATGAAGACATTTTGAAGATTTTGAGTTCTGTTGTCTTTGGAAAAGGAAAATCAAGGGATGAATTTATCAAGGTTCTGCCTAAGAGATTGCAGTGATTGGCCTTTCCCTCCCCACCATCAGGGTTATTACAAGGGGAAAACAACTTGTAACCTCTCATATCAAAATATTGGATACTATTTAGACTAGAAGAAGGCATTGCTGCTTGCAGTTGCTTAGATTTAAAAACAGGTTAATTCAAGAGTTTGAAATGTTTTAAGTAACGCTGATCTTGCCTGAAGCGTGGCAGATTCTCTGGCTTTCCAAATGTGCTCCCCACATTGATTCTCATGACTGATGTAATTTTTATACAGTGTTTCGCAGTAAATGATGCTTCTCCCAAGTAGGAAGGGAAAGAGCCTCTTTTGTATATGGCAGAAATGCCTAAGAAAGTTGGATAAGAAGCAACTAAGTGCAACAAGTAGGGACAAGGAGGAACAACAGATATGTTTATTCTGTATCTTCTATTTATCCTAACCTCTTTTAACTAAATAGATGATGATTTTTCTAAATTTGTAAGAGAAGGAAATTGGATAAAGATAAGCAAATGCAGTTCCTGTTCAATGCTAGTCTTTTCCTTGCTAGAAAATGCAACTAGTTGGTAAAACCATTATCCATTGACCCTGTGAATACTTTCATAGCCAGTTTAAACATTTCTTTGCAACAAAGTACTTTGGGAGGTGATGGACACAGTTGGTTTTTTTGGTTTTTGTTTTTGTTTTTTCCTTCCCCCCAGCTTCTATGTTATTCAGTAGGAGGAGTCCAGAAAGATTTAGCAGGACTATAAGCATACATTTACTCAGTGACTAAACTAACTTTCTGATGCCAGAGCCATATTTTATATTGCTGTTGAGGAAAAAAAATTATCACACTTTAAATATTCATAAAATGTTGTATTGAGCACATGCTTTAGCTAACTATTTTTGCTGGGATATGTTTTTTAAGATTTGTTGGAATAAAGCAAGAAGGGTTCTTTTATACTGTATGCCTCCAGGCACTTGAATTCAACATAGTGTGTGTTTTAGACTGATGTGCTCACTTGCCAAAGTAAATATGCATGTAATTTTTTTAATACGAAAAAATATAAATCTTTACACTTACTGTATTGCCAGAACTCTTACATGTATCAGTGTCGTGTGCATGCGAGCATAAGCCAAGCCCTCTTATTTGCTCTTATGAATGGTTTTATCCTTTCCAGTACTAATTATCCTTGATTTTTTGGCCTGTTCAGAATTTGGAGGAAAAGTGCAATATATTTAAAAACAAGAAATTGCAGTCTGGGAACATTAGCTCACATCTGGAGATATTCTAGGCTTTTCAGTGGATTTGTATTTCAGTTGATACCGCACTGTAAGTAATAGTGCTTCCCCATCTTTGGTTTAAAGTTTCTCTTATCTCATCACAGTTGCTTGCCTGGGTGTATTTCAGAAGTAGAGGTCTGGGGGCCAGGGTGAGAGGGAGAAGACAACAAGCTATTAATTCAGAGTTGTCTGTCGTTCTGCGCAGTAAAGTTCCGCATCAGTCATGGTACAGTGATCTATTCACCGGGAAATATCATCTAGCTGTGTTTCATCAGTTGGGTTAGCGTTGTGGTGGTAGCGTTTTCTTGTCACAGCATGTAGCAGCTTATTTGTGAGGAAAAATTCAGGGCACAAGGGCCTGCTTTGGAGAGCTTAAATACCTGGTTAAGGTGCATATTTGGCCACGTTTCGTAGCCTTTTAGTTTGATTCATACTGTGCAAGATGACAAAGGGGTGGGGAGAAGAGAGCTCAATTTCTAGTCCTGTTGCATTGAAAACCTGGTAGTGATTTGTTTTCCACCTGGTTTACTTCAGTACTTGCTGATGTTTATGAATATGTGTATTTTGTAGAATCATAGAATCATGGAATGGTTTGGGTTGGAAGGGACCTCAAAGATCATCTACTTCCAACGCCACTGCTGTGGGCAGGGACACCCTCCCCTAAACCACGTTGCCCAAAGCCTCATCCAACCTGGTCTTAAACACTTCCAGGGATGGGGAATCTGTGACCTCTCTGGGCAACCTGTTCCAGTGCCTCACCACCCTCACAGTCAAGAATTTCTTTCTAACATCTAATCTAAATCGACCCTCCTTCAGCTTGAACCCATTACCCCTTGTCCTGTCACTACACTCCCTGATAAACAGTCCCTCACCATCTTTCCTGTAGGCCCCTTCAGGTACTGGTAAGCTGCAATTAGATCTCCCCAGAGCCTTCTTTTCTCCAGGCTGAACAAGCCCAACTCTCTCAGCCTGTCCTCATAGGAGAGGTGCTCCAGCCCTCTGATCAGCTTTGTGGCCCTCCTCTGGACTCTCTCCAATTTGCTTATGCTTGTTTGATTCATCAACTCTCCATTTACATCAAGATATGAAATCTTAAACCTTTAGATGGAATTAGCCTTTTAATTGTTTTGGTTTTACTTCTAAGTGTTGTTAATGGAAACACAAAATCAATGCAAAAAGGACAACCTATGAGTTATTTGAGTCATAGAGCTGTGGTACCTGTGGTCGATGAGGCTCATACAGTTTCACTGATTTCTTGGCTTACACTGTGGAAATCCTATAGGGACCACATATAGTACAAAGATATTCATTTTTAAAAAGCAGATTTCAAGATCTTGAGACACTTTTGGAAACATTTACCCTGTCACAAAGTCAAATCTTTTGTGCATTTGAAAATGTGTCTCAGAAATCATGCCTTGTGCTTGATAATTTAGTTTATCATCTATATTGTAAGCTATAGAATGATGCTCTTGCATGTCTTGCATGCAAATACCAACTGCCAAGAGTCAGGGAGCAGCAAGAGCGGGCTGCTCCACAGGAAGGCAAGTCCGGGGTGGAAGGTGTGGTGGGTTGACGCGCTGGCTGGAGGCCAGGTGCCCACCAAAGCTGCTTTGTCACTCCCCTCCTCAGCTGGACAGGGGAGAGAAAATATAACAAAAGGCTCATGGGTCAAGATAAGGACAGGGAGAGATCACTCACCTGTTACTGTCATGGGCAAAACAGACTTGACTCTGGAAAATTAATTTAATTTATTACCAATCAAATCACTGTAGGATAATGAGAAATAAAACCAAATATTAAAACACCTCCTCCCACCCCTCCCTTCTTCCCGAGCTCAACTTCAGTCCTCATTTCTCCCCCTCCTCCCCCCCGCCCCCAGCAGCACAGGGGGATGGGGAAGGGGGTTTGTGGTCAGTTGATCACATGTTGTCTCTGCTGCTCCTTCCTCGCCAGGGGGAGGACTCCTCACACTTTTTCCCTGCTCCAGCCTGTGGTCCCTCTCATGGGAGAGTCTTCCACGCATTCCTCTGCTCCAGCACGGGTCCTTCCCACAGGCTGCAGTTCTTCACGAACTGCTCCAGTGTGGGTCCCTTCCACAGGGTGCAGACCTACAGGACCAGACTGCTCCAACGTGGGGTCCCCCACGGGGTCACAAGTCCTGCCAGCAAACCTGCTCCAGCGTGGGCTCCTCCCTCCATGGGGCCACAGGTCCTGCCAGGAGCCTGCTCGAGTGTGGGCTTCCCACGGGGTCGCATCCACCTGCTCTGGCATGGGGTCCACTATGGGCTGCAGGGGGACGCCTCACCATGGTCTTCTCCATAGGCTGCCGGAGCATCTCTGCTCTGGTGTCTGGAGCACCTCCTCCCCCTCCTTCAGCATTGACCTTGTTGTCTGTAGGGTTGTTCCTCTCACATCTTCTCACTCCTCTTGCTGGCTGCAATTGCTCTGGGTGTTTTTCCCCTTCTTAACTCTTGTTATCCCAGAGGCACTACCACTGTCGCTGATGGGCTCGGCCTTGGGCAGCGGTGGGGTCCGTCTTGGCGCTGGCTGGCATTGGCTCTGTCAGACATGGGGGAAGCATCTAGCAGCTTCTTGCAGAAGCCACCCTTGTAGCCCCCCTGCTACCAAAACCTTGCCATGCAAACCCAATATCGAAGGTGATGGGCAAGGCAGATGGGGAAATCACCTCACTGACAAGGCACAGTCCCATGATACCCAAGGCAGGAGAAGAGAGGAGGTCCTGTGATGATAGGACCCAGCCATAGCCCAGTGATGGCCAGAGACGTCTGCAGTGATGGCTTAGGTTCAAGGCCAAGTCAACAAGTCAGAGCCAAGATCTGCCAGATACATGGCTGGGCACAGGCATCCCTGAAACTTATCTCAGGCAAGGACCAAAAGTGAGGGCCTGAGCCTAACTGCGCCTCCTGATTGAAGGGAGGCCAGCTCCCACTTCTCACAGCGCTTTTTCCCCCAGCTCTTTTTGCTGCATCTGATCCCAGCTTCCAGCTGCACCATGTCAGAGCTGCCCATATGCATGGGCAGCCAGAGCCCCAGCAGGCAGAAGAGGCTGCAGATCCTGTTGAGCATGTGCAGAGCCCTGACACTGGAGCTAGCAGAATTATAAATAGAAATACACTTTGAATAGGTGCTGCACCTAATCCCTGTGGAGGGGAATTGGTAAGTGTATGTATTAAGTATGACATTTGGTTAGCTTCCATACAGTGAACATGGGGGTTATAGCCATAGCTTTCTTTTGAGGTAACGTTAATATTTTCCTTAAAGGTCGAGCATGCCTCATGGAAATGTCTTTTTTTTTTTTTTTTTTTTAAAACTATGTAATTGAAAGTAGTAGTGGAAGGATAATGGTGTCTATATTCAGTACAAGCCAAGACATTACCTTCTTAGAAATTGCTTGGGACCTACTGTTAAAACCATGTTGCTTTATGGAGCATCATAGTTATGAAGTTCAACATAGTTTTAATTTCAACTGTAAAGGTATGTGGTATTTATTAAAATTGAGTTTGCAGTGTTAATTATAATGCATATTTCACAATAGTTTTCTAGACTTTCTATGTTTGTGTCATAGGAAATATAGTTCATATTAAATTGTTGAATAATAGGGAATTTTCCTAGAATGATTGCTGCTGTTATCCATTTTATTATGAGTTTAATATGAATATAATATGTTAGTGAAATGGTAGAAAATATTATATCTGAAAGCTTTGAAAAGTTAATTCAAATTATACTTTTTTTTTCTTTAACCAGATGTTCCGAAATACGTTGGTGAAAATGTTTGAAGCTAAAGACTTGGACTGCGTGTTCCTAGAAACAAACATGAGTATGAAGAAACGGTATCACATGGTGTATGAATGTATTCCTCTTCCAAAAGAAGTAGGAGATATGGCTCCAATCTACTTTAAGGTACACAAAAATGTTTTTTGTTCGGTCATTTGAATGTATTTATCATAGTTGTGATAATTTATCATAATAAGTGATAGGATGAAGGGTAATGGCCTTAAGCTGAAGGAGGGTAGATTCAGATGAGCTATCAGGAAGAAATTCTTCACTGTGAGGGTGGTGAGGCACTGGAACAGGTTGCCCAGAGAAGTTGTGGATGTCCCCTCCCTGGAAGTGTTCCAGGCCAGGTTGGATGGGGGCATTGGGCAACCTGGTCTAGTGGAGGGTGTCCCTGCCCATGGCAGCGGGGTTGGAACCTAGATAATCTTTGAGGTCCCTTCCAACCCAAACCATTCTATCATTCTGTGATATTCAAGTACTATTTTTGAAAAGATGAATTCTTTGATCCTACTTCTTGATCCATTCTTTGATCCTATTCCTTGATCTTAAAACAAGCCCTGTGAGGTAATTCTCTTTTTCAGGTAGTCAGTGGGGGAGCTGTATGTCACTGTGCAGTTGCCTCAAGTCTGACTGCACTGACAAATAATGGAAGAAGGAGAGAGAATTGTAGTTTCTTGAATTACTGTAAGGATTGAAATACTTCTCACTTAAGTCCTGTAGTATAAACTTAAAACTCCATACATGTGCCTTGGCAAGCATAAAATGAGAGAATGTTAACTGTTTTAAGAAATACCAATATATAAAGTTTCATCCCTATTTTATTTCAGTAAGCCCAAATTTTACATGTGTCATAGATCTCTGATGAACATTAGACAGCATGATAGATATTTCCTCTATACCTTTTCTTGTCTCTTTCTGCTGACCCTGTAAGGAAAGGCTCATTGAGACTTCTGCCTGTAACCAAGGCCTTTAAGCTTTCAGCAATTGGATCGTGATTTGCCTTTTCTGAGTAAATTATGTTATTTCTTCTTTGAAATATTGTTTTTATTTTCTGGAAATAATGTGATTGGTTTCTCATGAAGTGGAGTCAGTGTGATGAACAGCAATACAGTAGCATCTACCGCGTTTGAAACTCTCCACCTGGTTGATTTTGAGTGCTGGTAATACTTGTGTTTTGTCTGAATACTAAAGGAAGGATGAAGTACAAGATTTAATGCAGTGTCACTTGCATAAAATTTCTTTCAGAAATTTCCACCATTAAAATACATAGCAAATTAAATTGAAAAGGTACCTACAGTATGCTACACTATACCCACTTCCATACTATGGAGGATACAGGGGCAGTTTTAAAGGTTTTTAAGTGCAATCAACCTTCTAAGGTGGATTGTCCTCTTAGTGTTTAAAAAGAAAAAAGGCTAATGTAGTGTAATGAATTCCTAGGAGATTTTGTATTAGCTTAGTAAAAAGAGAATGTGACCTTTTAGTTGAAACTTGTTAGAGATAATTTAAATTTAAAAAAAAAAAAAAAAAAAGAACAGAATTAAGTGAGTTTGAAGATATTATACAATGCCTTTATGAAGTATGTAAGTTCTGGAAATCAGAAAGATTGTCAAAAATAAAGTTACTTTGTTAAGAAATAATTGGTACTTGCAGTGCAACGTACTTCACTATATTGAAAAGTTAGTTCTTTCCTTGCTGAATGAAGGGCTGTTTTCACATTTAGATAAAATGATTTTACAGAAAGCTATAATGGAGTCTGATGAAGAGTGGTCCATGAACAAGAAGTTAATTGATCTTTCTTCAAAAGATGTTCGGAAATCTGTAAGTAATGTAATGTATTGAACGCTGAATTTCTCAGCAAATTCTTCTCATCTTTTTTCATTATTAACTGTTTCAAAGAGAGAAGAAAGGGAGCACAATTAGATTAGTGCATCAGAAGATGGCATAGGTAAGAGGAGAATTAAGAGTCTGACTGAACTCCTAACTGACATTAGGGAAAAGATACCCATTTATTTCAACAGTTGGTGGACTGAGCTGCAAGCATTGGTTGAGCTGGCACTTTGAGGACGTGGACTAGCATAATTTTCTTGATTAACTTTAGAATTAAGGTAGATCAAAGATTTGCAAATTACTTTCCTGGAAAAAAAAAATGATGTGTCTTTTTCATTGACCTATAACAGCCTTTGCGTTGCTAAGTTTGTGAAGCGAAAATATAAATAGTGTTATGTCTTTTTTTTTTTTTTCCTAAAGTAAGGGAACACTTCTCTATCTGTCTCCTGGATACTAAACTGAAGCATCTTTGTATATACAAATCTTAAAGGAATAATTCTGAAACTGTTAGGTCGAAAGGTTGTTCCATCTTTAATATTAAAGTCAAAGATGTGTGGTATATAGACTTCACCACAAGTAGTTTACTGCTATGTACTAATAATACTTAATTTCTGAAAGTGTCTTTTAGTAAATATAGCACCTTTGCACTAAAAGAACCCTAGTTTAGGAGGAAGAGGAGATGGCTTTTAATAATGAGAAATGAAGCCTGATATGATAAAGAGGGAGAAGTTAAATGTGGAAGAGTAAGGGGTTCAGTGGCTGTGTAGTAGGAGAGGTTTTATATATTGTGATGACTTGAACTAAACCAACAGTGGCAGCAATGTAGCAAAAAGACAAAATGTATTCTGCCATGGAAGCTGGAATGTCATATAAATGTAATGGGAGTCTGTTCTGGGTCACCTTATGGTGAGGCTTCACCTGTAAAATGGGTCTGGTTTTGAGTACAGCATTTTAAGGCAGTTATAGAAGAGGAGAGCATAGGTTAGAAAACTTAACTACAGAAACTGGTTTAGGGGTTGTGCAGTCTAGGAGAGAAAAGACTGAAATGGGATGTGATGGTAGTTTTCTGTATATAAGGGGTTGTTTTAAAGAAGATGTTCGCTGGCACTATTGGGTGCAGACAAGAAGGATTTCAATTAACTTGTAGCAAGGACTTAGGGAAGACTTTAAACTTAAGGTGGATGTAAACAGAAAACAAAATAAGTACGTTTTGGATATCTTCTGCTCATTGGTGTTTCAGAACAGGGAAAGCCATCATCCATCACAAATAAATGAAGTATAGTCTTCTTGACACATGGTAGGATATTAGGACATTTGATTTCTTTAAGAATCTTCTTAGCCATGCATTTTTGTGACTGTATTATATATTCAGTTTTCAGATTAAGTCACAACACGTCTTAAATTAATGAAATGCATCTGAGTTTAAATTGTTACATAGTGTGTAACACACAGTAATTGTGTGATTTTAACATTATTTTAGGGTAAAAGAAATGTCTGTAGCCTTCAGGAAGATATGAGAGTGTAGTTTAGAAACTGAGCAGAGTTTTGGGAAGTTGCAGAATTGTATTAGGAGGTGGTGGTGCCTGAAAGGGGAGGGTCAGATGGCTGAGACATCATCTAATGTGTGGATTGTCCACAGAAATTGGGATATTCAGCCCTTGCACAGCATCAGAGGCTTCTCTGCTTCCCCTCTGCTCCCCGCAGCAAGGGATCTGGGGGGTGGGCAATGACCTGGGAGAGGACACAGCCGGGAGAGCTGACCTGGCAGCAAGCAAACACTGGTGTGGTATCAACACTGCTCTAGGCACCAGTCCAAAACACAGCACCAAAAAGGCTGCAGTGAAGAAAGTGAACTCCATCCCAGCCAGACCCAATACATTGCTAGACACAAATAACATAAAGCTCACACTTTCCTTAAAATGTCACCTGCCAACCCATTTTTTTTCTTATTTAATGATTTTTTTTGGTGAATTTAAAATGTTTTATGTTTCTTGCTATGCTGCTACATTGCCCTTCTATATTAAATCTTGATTATTTTCAGAGTGAATTTTTAAGCAAAATATGGAATATGGCCTGTGAAAATTGCAGAGTTATTTGGACAGTAGCAGAAGAAATACTTATGAATTTGAGGCTTTGTAAATCTTACCTGTGCAGGAACATCCTCAACAATTAACAGTGGAAAATAACTTGTTGCAATGAAACTGCAGAAATTACTTGCAATACTGTAGCAATAAATGAATCCACTTTTCAGGCACTTTTCTCTGTGTCAGACTGAAGGGTCTTTCCTTGTGGCAGGATAACAGGCATCACCTCTGTAGGCTGACTGAATTATTAAATTACTCGATTCATCAAGTTAATGATAACTTCCAGTATGTAGTGGGGTTTTCTGGTAGTGTATTCTCCATAGAGGTGTTTCCCCTTCCTCTTGAGTATCAACATTTCCTCCTGGTAAATATTTCCTGTAATCACACAACACCTTTAATAAACGCAACTTGCTGGTGGTAGTCTTAAAATTTCTACTCATCCCATCTAATTCAGAGTGGTGGAGTCATGAAGGCATTTGCTCGGTGTGCATACTGCTGCCTCATCCCTCCCTGTCTTACCTGGTGCTGTAGCGGTGTCCTCTGGAGGTTCTACCACCCAGTAATCACCTTTTCAGTTTTCAGTGTCTTTTTATCTAGTTGTGTGGTGTTCTTTCCCCTTACCTGTTTATTTTACTGTTTCTCTGTAGCAAGTTCATAACTTGGTCTGAGAGGAGGTTTAAGATAAAATGTGATACTATCAACTGTAAAGCCAGCTACTTTCAAAGTCATTAAGTTGCAGGGAAGTTAACTAAATGCCTGCAGTCTGTTAAACATCTAAAAATGTGGTTTTGTGGGTATAGGTTCCTAAAGGATTACCATACTTTGCTGTGGACTTTGGCCTTCAAGGAGGATTTGCTCATATCATTGAAGATCAACACAAGTTCCCTCATTACTTCGGAAAGGTATTGTCATGTAAAAGATCAATTTACCAATTATACTCTGTTTTGTAAAATTTAAGTAATTAAAACAGATGCTGCCAGAACAATCACTTTAATGTATTTATCCAAATTTATTTACTGGCTTTTCTTGGTGAGTCATTGTAACGTAGCTTTTTGAATAAAGGAGTAGTTGGTGTCTTCACTGGCTGATACTCAGAATATGATTCTAGATCCATATTTCTTTTGAATTTATAGGAACTCCAGATATTTGACATACAGTCTAATAGATGGGAAAATACTTGCATCTATTTAAGAGTTTTCATGGCCATAGTATTCTCATATAGGTGCACTGACTCCTGCTTGTATAAATTAGGGTGGATACACTCACAGACAACTCCCAGTAAAATACTTATGTAGTTAAATTACTCCATGTGGTATAGAGAGTATAGTATATACAGGAAGCGCTGCACTAAATTCTTCTTTTCTTATGTCACAGCAATCGTTTATTGAAAGTGTCAATATTGCAAAAACATTGAGTGATTGGGGAGAAATAGAACTTACTTCAGAAGGAGTTAAGAGCAAAGTGGGCAGCTTTCTTTTTTCTGAACTTTACTCTTAGTCACAAATGTACTAATATATTAACAGTCTTGCAATGTTAGGATATTTATGCAGTGTATTGCTATGTTGTACTTAAAAGAAATTTGCTGAGGCAACCACTTAACAACTACAGTTCTAATTTTTGAATTGGTATATTTTTCAGGATTTCCAGTTTTAATAACTAGCACTCGAAGAAAACAGTGACAAATAATTGCATGATTTGAATATATGTATTTAATATATAAAGTAATGTTAAACAATATGGTAATTTTGCATTTATCATTATCTATCTTTCTTCCACTTGCAAAGGAAATTATTGGTGGCATGCTGGACTTGGAACCACAGCTCTGGAGAAAAGGAATCAGACAGAACTTTGAGGATCAAAGGAAGAAGGTGTTGCAGTTTGCACAGTGGTGGAAACCATATGACTTTACCAAAAAGAAAGAATGAGTACATCCCTGCAGTCAAGGACTATATAAGCCATAAATTATATTAAAGGATATGTCATATGTTAAGAATAACAGCAATGTGTTATGTATTGCTAATATATTTTAAAACCAAGGATATTGTTTAATTGCTGATTACCTATTTCCAGCTTGGACACTGTGGATCACATGAACCTGCAAGCCTGACAAGCCAGAAGTGTACAGTGTTTTTAGTTTTTCATTTTTAAGCTGAGCCAAAAGAATTGGCTATTGGAGTTCTTCAAAGTGTAGCTTCTGCTTTTGGAGTTTTTATAATCTTTGAGGCAACTAATTTTTTTATATTGTATTTAGTGTAGAGCCAGTGCTTAATTATCATGGTGACTTTTTGTAGAAAATGGTGTACATTTTAAGAATATTTTGATTAATACAAATACGTTGTTGCAGAAGGAAGCTGTACAGAAAATAATTTTCTGATTTTTGAGTCCCTGTGTTCTTTAAGTTGAGGTCATTACAGTAATACAAACATTCACATAGGATGGGATAGATAAACCTGCTGCTGCCCTCTGCACATTAATTAATGCAATTTTTTGTACTTTCAATAGAAATAGTATTTTTCAAGCTGACCTGTTGCACAAAGGGTGATGAGACAGTCCATAGCTAGTGGCAAGTGGCAACTTTAATGGTAACAGTTACTTTTGATGACAATAAAAAACAAAAAAGAGAGGTGAGCGGAAGAACCTTAAGAGAAAACACTCTCTGATGGCTAGCAAAGAAAATCATCTCAGGGATCTCCCCAAATGACTCTTCTCCCCAGGGCATCCTCTCTAGTGCAGCAGATGGTCCACTGTAATACTTTTCTGATAATAACTATATAGTTTTTGTCAGGACCTGCTCAAACTCCCTGCTGGTTGTTCCTGCTTGTGATGCTGTTAGCGCTGATTGGAGCACACTCTGATCAGGGGCGAGAGTTGCATGTTAATTGATTGTTAAGCTTTGTGCATGGATGTCACTGGGAAATGCCTGTCTGCTGTTTAAAAGACTACTGTCTACTGTGTTATTCACTAGGTTTTGTTTTTTTCTATTGTGTAAAAATTACAAAATAGGAGGTAGGAAAGGGTGAGGGGAAAACAGGATGATTCTTGCATCAATGTAAATAATTTTCTGTGGGAAACCTGACATAGCAGGCTTGGGCTTTGCAAAAGGTGTGGAACTGGGAGAACAGGACAAGGACAGAAGGACACGGATGAGAACAGTGCCACAGTGTCTTCCCAGCGCATAAGGGAAGGGGTGCAGACTTACAAACACAAGACTGCAGTGCTGCAGGGAAGGGCTCTGGGGGCAAGTGGAAGGCCCTGAGCAGAGCAAAAGTTAAGGCATCATGCAAGTGTCCAGCATGTTTCCCGCTCTTTTCCTGTAGAGCCATTGCCCTGTGCAGCTCTGTTACCTATTTTGAACTGCTCAGGTTAAGAAATGGTTCACTAAATATTACAGGGTTGAGTAAGTGTTCATTTCTAGTCACTTGGTGGTCTTTTGCAACTTTCTTGAAAACCTAGTACTTTGTTTGTTTGCTTGTTTTGCATGTAAGTCTGGTAGAGGTAGAAGTCCACTATGTTGTGGGCATAGAAGGGCCAGTTCCACTGTTCTCGTCAGTTTTGATCTTCCTTAGGCTACTGGGGATGTTACAGAGCAAATCAGACATTGAAATAGTAGCTGCTATGAGTTGCTTAGAATGTGGTAAAGCTGAAGCAAATTCAGGTAAAGTGCAGTCTTTGGTGACATAAAGCATGACTAAAAATTGTTTTCTCTGAAAGAGTATGCTGTCTCCGGTCTCATCTGCCCCCCTGGAAGATAGCTGGGAAGCGACAGAGGTGACTTGTCTCTTACGGCCATGGAACAGTCTTTATCCAATGTTGTGCTGGAGATGCATTTTTTTCTAAATGATATATCACTTTTGCTCAAAATTTGTGTTCCTCAAGGGAAGTGCTGTGCTTCACAAGGGATATTTGACTTGTAGGTAGAAAAGTCTTTCATTCTGACTCATAGTCAGTGCATATTTTATTATTATTCTGATTTCAGCAAAACTGCTGCATACTCTTTGGACCAGAAAAGTCTGAAATATTGGAGTAAGGGTAACAAGCTAGTGATACAGGAAAATGTGTCTTACCCTATTAGAAATTTTCAGAATGGGAGACTGTGCTTACCACATACACTGAGAATAGTATCTTCTTGTAATTGATCACAACCAGACAGGTATATCTTCAGGTTAAGGTGTTCCTCTTCATAGAATGATAGAATGGTTTGGGTTGGAAGGGACCTTAAAGACCATCTAGTTCCAGCCCCCCTGCCATGGGCAGGGACACCCTCCACTAGACCACGTTGCCCAAAGCCCCATCCAACCTGGCCTTGAACACTTCCAGGGATGGGGCATCCACAACTTCTCTGGGCAACCTGTTCCAGTGTCTCACCACCCTCACAGTAAACAATTTCTTCCTAATGTCTAATCTAAATCTACCCTCTTTTAGTTTAAAGCCATTCTCCCTTGTCCTATCACTACATGCCCATGTAAACAGTCCCTCTCCAGCATTCTGGCCAGTATTTTGGCCAGTATCAGAACAGAAACAGATCATATGAAATTCACCTCATATCTGTCTGAGTAGTAGTTGTCTCTGTATATAGCTGTCTGAAAGAACGTGTGGATAAATAACATTTGTATTTCCTACCAGATACTAAGCCTTTTAAAAACTTTGTTTAAAACTGAAAAAAAGAGTGAAGCCCTCCAAGGAAATCTTTAACTTCAGGACTTTTATCTTCACAGCTCTTTACAAACATTAACTTTATATCTCTGAAAGCTTTGACCAGCATAGCTCCCTCTGACAGCTGTGAAACTGCTGTCCCTTTGGACCAGGGGAATTTGCCCCACACCTCAGCGCATCCCCCACCCCAACCCGGTGCTTGGGTTTGGGTTGCTGAGAGTGCCCAGAAGGTCCTCCCAGATCCCAGCTCCTGTGCACTCCCAAGATCCCATTCATTTCAGTTGATTGCATCCTCCTTGAAGTGCTCCTTGTCCATGAGCACTGTTTTAAATGATTTATGACTGCACAGTCTTTTATTTTTAGCTTCTGTGCAAAACTTCCAAATCAAATCTTGGTGGGAACTGCTGTCTGTGATAATTTTGTTGTCTTCCTCTCCACTAATGAAAAACAAGTTCAGACTTGCAGTTAAATGGTGTGGTTGTCTTCCTTAGTACATTTTTATACAAATCAAACAGGAATACAGGTAGATGAGAACAGTAATATGATTCTAGCGTACTAAATAATTAACTTTAAAAAGGTTAATGAGTCCTTGCCTAACAAAACAGCAGTGCTAGAAAGTATGGATCATCTTTTAATGATGGGAAGAGAGGACACGCAAGTGGGTTGTGAGGACTCCCAATTCACCATTTTCTTGCTCTTGATTCACAGAAGAGTTCATAGGAAGCGAGTTTGCTGTGCAGTGAGGATGCTCACTTCTCCCACCCATCTTCGAGCCTGTTTATCATATTTGATTTCTGTGAACTGCTGTGATTTAAACATTATTACTTATTTTTAAGATATCAGAGATGCGAAAATATAAGATGGTAAGGGTTTCTTCTAAACCAGAACAAGGGGCTACTTTGTGAGGTGTTTGGCCATCTGGTGGTAGAATTCTTGCTGGCTTTATTTGCGTTAGAGACCAGACATCAGCAGCAACATTACCTTCCCACTGGTACCTGCACCCTTAGTCTGCAAGGGCTCTACAGGGAGATGCACAAAAGGCAGAAACAGAATGAAGTTGTTATGGGACACATTTGCATTCAAGGAGATTCGGGATTCTGAAAAAGAGATTTATTTTGTTCTGAAAAACCTCAGAGGGACTGGAAACAAGATGCTGAAAGATGAGCAAAACACACCCATGTTGCAAATACATGGTCTGTTGTAACCCAGACAGGTAACGCTGACAATAGTTGCAGCTTCCTTCATTTGCTTAGTGTATGTTATTCTAGCCTGTATGAACGTATGTGACACGTCTTCTCCAGCCAGTGGTGGCAGTGCCTGAGCCTGAGGCGCGTACCCTGCTCTGGGCTCTGCAGCTCTGGGATCTGGAGGTTTTGAGAACACGCTGAAGAGCATTTGTGGGGAATGGCACGGATGGGGTGACTGTTTTGGGGTATGGAATGCACTAAATCACCCTCAGAGTCCGTCCTTGCCCATGGCCTGTGGTTTCTAGGGAATTAGCACAACTTGTTTACTTGACAGTTCAGTTGTTATTCACAGGAGCGTAGGATTAGGAAAGGAATATTTTTGTCACCAGTTCCAGGGGAACTCATATGTAATCCACAAGTATCACACTCCACTGTCCATATTACAAGCCACTTACTTACACACATTTATAAGTCTAAACAAAAAATGATTAACAGAGATGCAGAAAAAGCTATAACAATTACAATTTTACAGGAAAAAGTAAAGAGAAAATAAAAATGGTATCAATTTTTTATTTGTGTTTTTAATAGCGGGAACTGATGCTGCTCAGGAGTAGAATATGACTCATGATAGAAAGAAGCAAGAAGTCAGGCAATAGCTAGCTGTGAATGTGGGGGCAAAACAAGCATCTGTAAGGGTTTTCAGTGTCAGTTGTAGGCACAGAACATCCCATCTCTTCCTGTAGCCTTGCTGTGGTGTTTCACAGTAAAGTGAAGAAATAATCCAGGAGTCAGTTTTACAACGAAGGAGGTCAAATTGAGCATGATTACTTTGGGGAAAATAATTGTCAGCAACCTTACACATCCAGCAATGAATTCCTTTTAAATGGAAAACTCTAGCTTAAGGCCCCCAACATGAAAGACCATTCCATTAACAAGTATTTTGCTAATAACAATACAACTTTTCTTAATAAATATTTTTGTTAAATCTTCGTTCCTCCACTGCTAATATAATTTCCTTTGCTTTTATAGTCAGGAGATTCCTCAGTTCTGTTGCTACCAGTCCTGTGGTGTTTTGCTTATATGGCTGCATTATTTAGGGCAATACAATTCTGATGTTTCATTTTCTTAGAATCATAGAACGGTTTGGGTTGGAAGGGACCTTAAAGCCCATCTAGTTCCAACCCCCTGCCATGGGCAGGGACACCCTCCACTAGACCAGGTTGCCCAAAGCCCCATCCAACCTGGCCTTAAGCACATTGTTAAATTAGCCTATACACATTACTTAAGTAACACAGTTACCTTTGTTCAACTTCTGGTTAACGTGTTTTAGACTCACAGATTTCTGGCTATGCAGTTTTCATTGCATCGATTTTTTCTTTTCCTGTAAGATGTTGCCTGCAGTACATTTGCTAATTTGAGGGTGCCAGCAAGAACGCTTCTCCTGCATGGCATCATGCTTAGCATCTCTGTATGTGAATTCCGCTTAGTTAAGTA